ACCGAGAGATGGTCTGGCCGCGGACTGCTCGCGCCCCGGAGGTCTGGCCGCCCCCGGAGCGCCGTTCCCCCGCCCCGTCGCCTTCGCGCATGGTGCGCCCCTGGCACGCCACCGTGGTGATGACCCTGCCGTGCGAGAAATGCGGGGGGTGTGCCGAAATGGGTGGGGGTGACGCATGCGGGCGGCGGCACTGAGGCCTTCGGTGGAGCTCCCTATGGAGCCACGAAACGTGTGAGGGGTGTGCCGAAATGGGTGTGGGGGACGCATGCGGCCGCGGGCACTGGGGCCTTCGGTGGAGCTCCCTATGGAGCCACGAAACGTGTGAGGGGTGTGCCGAAATGGGTGTGGGGGACGCATGCGGCCGCGGGCACTGGGGCCTTCGGTGGAGCTCCCTATGGAGCCACGAAACGTGTGAGGGGTGTGCCGAAATGGGTGTGGGGGACGCATGCGGCCGCGGGCACTGGGGCCTTCGGTGGAGCTCCCTATGGAGCCACGAAACGTGTGAGGGGTGTGCCGAAATGGGTGTGGGGGACGCATGCGGCCGCGGGCACTGGGGCCTTCGGTGGAGCTCCCTATGGAGCCACGAAGCGTGTGAGGGGTGTGCCGAAATGACACCCCCAGTGGGACCTTCGGTGGAGCTCCCCATGGGGCCACGAAACGTTGTCCTGGGTGGGGGAGACGCATGCGAACACCCCTACTGGGACCTTAGGTGGAGCTCCCTATGGGGCCACGAAACGCTGTCCTGGGTGGGGGAGACGCATGCGAACACCCCCACTTGGGCCTTCGGTGGAGCTCCCTATGGGGCCACGAAACGCTGTCCTGGGTGGGGGAGACGCATACGAACACCCTTATTGGGACCTTCGGTGGAGCTCCCGATGGGGCCACGAAACGCTGTCCTGGGTGGGGGAGACGCATGCGAACACCCCTACTGGGACCTTCGGTGGAGCTCCCTATGGGGCCACGAAACGCTGTCCTGCGTGGGGGAGACGCATGCGAACACCCCTATTGGGACCTTCGGTGGAGCTCCCTACGGGGCCACGAAACAGTGTCCTGGGTGGGGGAGACGCATGCGAACACCCCCACTTGGGCCTTGGGAGCTCCCTATGGGGCCACGAAACGCTGTCCTGGGTGGGGGAGACGCATGCGAACACCCCCAGTGGGACCTTCGGTGGAGCTCCCTATGGGGCCACGAAACGCTGTCCTGGGTGGGGGAGACGCATGCGAACACCCCTACTGGGACCTTCGGTGGAGCTCCCTATGTATGGGGCCACGAAACGCTGTCCTGCGTGGGGGAGACGCATGCGAACACCCCTGTTGGGACCTTCAGTGGAGCTCCCTATGGGGCCACGAAACGCTGTCCTGGGTGGGGGAGACGCATGCGAACGACCCCAGTGGGACCTTCGGTGGAGCTCCCTATGGGGCCACGAAACGTGTGAGGGGTGTGACGACATGGGCGGTGGGGACGATGATGAAGACGATGATGAGGATGAGGATGTGGATGAGGATGATGCTGCAGATGATCATTCTGACGGAAGAGAGAAGAGGAGGGGGAGGAGGGAGGAGGGGGAGGAGGAAGGAGGAGAGGAACGCGGGGCACCGTCTCTTCAAAACGAGGACCCAACACCACAGGATGGTTGGGAAAAAAACAATCAAAATCAACGATTTTGACTTCTTCGGGCTTTCCCAGGACGCCTCTCGGACCTCCCTTGGGGCCTTCTGGAGGCCGGGAGAGCCGTCGGATGGGTGTCTCGGGCTGCGCGGCAGCGTGTTGGGCCGTTCTGCACGTTCTGGGGGCTCCTTCGGGTCGTCATGGGCTGTCCTTCGGCGTCTTGGGGTCTGCCCCCGGGAAGCTGGGAGGCGCGGTACCGGCCAGATGTCAGGGGATGTGTAGGACCCCCGAGGAGCCCCACTTTGAAAAACAAGGGAACTCTGGGAATTCCCTTTTTATCAGAATCCTTGATCTTCGAGGGCTGGAAGCGGGAAAACGTGAGAAGGCGAAAAGCATTAGAAAAACCATTGGAAATCAACGGTTTTACCCTTTTTGGGCTCTCTCGGGACGGTTCTCGCAGCTCTCTTGGGCTGTTCTTGGAGCCTCGTCGGGGTCTTTTTGGGGCCTCTCAGGGATCGGGGGTGCGTTGGGGGCCCTGGGGGGTCCCGGAGGCCTTTCGGAGGTCTCTGGAAGCCTCCTGCTCCCGCTCTTGGGCCCATCTTGGAAATGTTCTGGAGTGGTCTGAGGCTGTCCTGGGCGCAACTTCGGCAGTCTTGGAGCCTTCTTGGCCCGTTTTGGGGCCGTCCTGAGGGTCTCTTGGGTGGTCTTGGGGCAGTCTTGGGAGCCTCTTCGGCGCTCTTGGACCGCTGGAAGCTCGAAAATGCGAGAAGCCAAAAACAGTCAAAAACCAATGAAAATCTATGATTTGGGCCTCTTCGGGCCGTCCCGGGACGCCTCTCGGACCTCTCTTGGGGTCTCTTGGAGGTTACCTGGGAGCCTCCAGAGCCGTCGGAAGGCTGACTTGGGCTGCTTGGGAGCGTCTTGAGCCATCCTTTCGCATTCTGGGCGCTCCTGGGAGTCGTCGTGGGCCCTCCTGGAGCGCCGCGGATGCTCCCCGGAACGCCCGGGGGAGCAGTACCGGGAGCGTCCCCGAGATGTGGCGGGGAGGTGTGGCACCCGGGGCCGGGGGGGGCCGGTATTTATTCATATGATATGAGTGTGTATGTTTATTTTTGCAAGTGTCACGTATGTGCCCAGGCTCATACAACAAAAAATGGAAGGGCGTTCGAAGCAGGAAGACACCACAATCCTCCCCCTCATCCTTCTGGCTCGCCACAATTACACGAACGTATAGCACCAGTGATGCAAGATGGGCTGGCGGAGTGAGCGAAGCGATTAACAAGAGAAGTGTTAGCACGATTCCCACCAGTCGATTTGTTTCACCAGACAATTTGTGGAGGGAAAGAGAAGGAGGAGAAGAGGAGGAGGATACCTGCTGGGAGTGAAATGCATTAGCGAGGTCGCACTCGAGCGCACGTGGGGTTGCCACACCTTGCGATGTGTGTACCAGGGCCCCCCAGGAAACCTCAGGAGGCCCGACTTGGATACCGGAAGAGGCTCCAGGAGGCCCCAGGATTGTGAGTGTTGTGTGGGTGTGTGTGTGTGTGTGTGATGTGTGCTCTGTGTTGTGAGTGCTGTCTGTGCGTTGTAGGTGTTGTGTGTGTGATGTTTGTCTAGCGTGTGATGTGTTGGGTGTGATTTGTGTCTCTGTGTGTGCATGTAGTTCTGAGGCCCCAGGAGGCCCCAGGAGGCCTCAGGCGGCCTCAGGAGGCTCCAGGAGGAGACCCCAGGAGGCTCTAGGAGGCCCCAAGAGGCTCCAGGAGGCCGCAAGAGGCCCCAGGAGGCCCTAGGAGGTTCCAGGAGACCCCCAGGAGGCTCCGAGGCGGGGTCTGGGGTACCAGAAGGTACAGAAAGCCCCAGGAGGCCCCAGGAGGTTCCAGGAGGCCCCCAGGAGGCTCCGAGGCAGGGTCTGGGGTACCAGAAGGTACGTCGGGGCTCGATTTTGGGAGGATGTCTCAGGCGAAACCGCCATTCTCTGAGAATCGGGGTCAAAATCATTGAAATTACAATTTGTTTTTGAAGGTTTTATGTTAGAATTTTGAAGTTCCCGTGTGTTTTTGGACCCTGACGTCACGATCTGTGTGAGGGGTACCACCGATTTTCAGAACTTCGAGGATGTCCCTAGCGAAACGGCCAGAAAATCGCTAACGACGCGGCGCGTACGCATTAATCGCCTCTGAGCCCTACTCCCTCGGATAGGTGTGTATGATAATGTATCCATATACATGCATACATACATACATACATACATACATGCATACATACATACATACATTACATACATTACATACATTACATACATTACATACATTACATACATTACATATATTACATACATACATACATACATACATACATGCATACATACATACAGACAGACAGACAGGCAGACAGACAGACAGACAGACAGACAGACATTACATTACATTACATTACATTACACTACATTACATGACATTACATTACATTACATTCCATTCCATTCCATTCCATTACATTACATTAGATACATACATACATACATACATACATACATACATACACACACATACAGACATTCATACATACATACATACATACATCACACATACATACATACATACATACATACTTGCATGCATGCATGCAGGCATGCATACATACATACATACATACGTACAAGCATACATACATACAGACAGACAGACGTACAAACATACATACATACATACATGCATGCATGCAGACAGACAGACAGCCAGACAGACAGACAGACAGACTGGCAGACTTATTTAATTGCTTCCATACATACATATACATACACACGACCCCACACAAGCATTCGAGGCGGGATGGGGCACGTCTAGGCGGGGGTGCGCTGCGATCGACAATAATATGCGCGCGAGCACCGGCATGTGTGTACATGTTCAGATATATACACACGACCCCGCACGAGTGCTGAGCACGGCGTGGAGAAACTGCTGGATCGTATACCGACGAGGCACGTTTTCTTCCGAGGCCCAGCAACGCAAGTGCACCACAACGCAAGCGAAGCAACGCGGCTCAGGCGCATTGCAATTCGAAACGACGTGGCCAAAGACAAGTGCCATGGTAAAACAGCGGCAAGTCACCGCAGCGCACACAAACATAACGCACTGCGACAACAAAACATAATACAACGGACACCCACGCCATGCCATGCAAAGATAAAACATAAAAGTGTATGCAATGAAATGCAAAACAAATCGAAGCAACGCACACTAGCCCAACGCAAAACAATTCGATCGAGCCCATTACAGCGCAAGCCAACAGAGACACAACGCAATACAATGCGAAGCGATGAACAGTATATGAACTCATTGCAGCGCGATGCAACGTGAGCAGTCCCATGAATCCGAAAAGCTTGGGGAACCCAACGAGAGAACAACGAATAATTCGACAAACAAAAAACCCAATGCACCATGCATCGCGCAATGCACACAAGCGGTAAAACGGAAAACACCAGCCAATAGTGGCCTGAAACCGTCAAGGGCGCCAGTCCGAGCTGCCGCAGCTAGGCGCGAGTGGAGGCAAGCGAGAGGAGAAGCAAGGAGACCGACCATGGCAATCTAGACACCTCGCGCGGACATGCACAAACTCTGGGCCGCCATCGCCACCGCAGTGCCTGGCATGACTGTGATTCGTGGGCCTCTAAGAGAAGTCACAAGCTTTAAAGCCCGACTGAGCGGCCGGACCAGCGCGAGCGGAAGCGGGCCGGAAGCGAGGCAGCCAGCCAGCCAACCGCGCCCAAAAGAATGCCGCGCGGCCCCCCCCGCACTTGGCGGCAGGACGGAGAGACAGCAAACAAAACCTGGAGCGCATTGCCCACGCCTTTTTCGAATGGAGGTCGGGCAGAGGCCGGCGCAACCCGCCCGACGCGACGCGCGACGCTCCATGGCCGCCAAGCGCACTGCGCGCACACGCCACACACGCCATGCGCCACGCGCAAGCAGCGCGCTCGAAGCGCCGGACGCTCGTGACGAGCACGGAGGAGGCACTGCGGGCATGCCAGCTGCACAGCGAACATCGCCTGCACCAGGCGGCGCTGCGGACACGCAGCGAGAGCAGCTGCTGTGACGTGGGCAGGAAGAGCAAGGCGCGCAACCTCTCCGACCCTGCAGCCGAGCAGGGGTCGGCGTGCGGCGGGCCGAGGACACGAAGCGCACGGCGCGCACGCGCCTCGCGTGCCATATGCGCATCAGGCGCGCTCGAGTCGGGCGCTTCTGGCTCCCCCGGGGCCACTTCGGAAGAGCCACCTGGCCACGTCCAGCCGTCGTCGTGCCCCGCCCTGGAGCCTGCTGGACGCATGCTGGGTGGTGCCGCCTTGGGTGCCTTTGGGGCCGCCGGGGTGCCGTCCTCGGGGCTCTCTGGGGGCGTTCTGGGGCCACCTCGGGAGCCTGCTGGGGGCCCGCTGGGACGGCTTGGGCGTCTCTGAAAGCCGCCTTGGGGCTCGGGGGCTGGCTGGGGCCCGCCTGGGCTCCCAAGAGTTAGGTCCGGCCCGTCCCCCCCTACAGGGGGATTTTGGACGAAGACTGAAAAATATCAAAAAATATGCAAAAGACGCCCAAAAATACCCCCAAAGTAGTCCCCAGGCTATTTCTTCACTCTTTTGGAATATTCCCCCTGCAGAGGGTCAGGCCCGACTTAACCCAAGAGGCACTCATGGGACGTCTCAAGGACAATCCTGGGCCGTCTAGAGCCGCTCTTGGGTCCTTCTCGGGGCCCTCCTGAAGTCTTACTGGGCCGCGTTGGGGCGATGGTGAAGGCCTTTCGGGCGATCTTGGGAGCCCTCGCGGCCGAAAAGACGCAGATCCGAACATGACGCAAAAACTGCAAGAAAATCAATGATGTCTTTTCTTTCGGAAGCTTCTGGGAGTCATTTCTGGGCCTCCTGGGCCCGTCTTGGGAGTCTTTTGGGCCGTCTTGGAAGCGTCTTCGCTGTCCCTGGTCGCTCTGGGTTCAGCTGGAGCGTCCACTCGTGCCGCCCTGGTGCTGTCTGAAGCCAGCTCGGTGCTACCTTGGCCGCCAAACGTACCCCGGACCACCGGGGCCTGAGTCGGCACTCAGAAGGGTGAGGGAATCTTGAAAAAGTTTCCCCGGGCCCCGAGAACCTGGTCGCCCGTCATTTTACGTATAAAGACGAATCTTCTAAGAGTGCACGTTTTCCCAATGGAATGGGCAGTGTTAGCCTCCTGGGCCCCTCTCGCGGAGCATCTTGGGGCCTTCTTGGAGCTTTTTCGGCGCCTTCTGGGTCATCCTGAAAGAATACTCGGGCGTCGCCAGCCCTGTTGGGCCGCTCTGGCTGGTGTTTGGTGGCTTCCCGAATTGTTCCGAACCGCCGGGGAGAGGCCCGGGAGGCCACAGGGGGGGATCCGGAATTAGACGAGCACGTTCCACTACTCGCAAAATCACTACTCGCAAATGACTTGGATCCACCGCGAGGGGTCTACGATACATTACATCAAAGCAGCCATATGTTTTCTCGGACGCTTGCAAGAAGGCACTTTGCGAGTAGCGGAACGCGCTCGGTGAGGAATTCTAGTGCGTGCCGAAAAGGGGAAGGGGGGGAATCTGGGAGGGTGTACCGGTCCAGGGCTGGGCCAACAGTACCCCGGCATGTTACAGGGCTGAACCTAAACGGTGTTTTCCGTTTTCGTTTTGTTATCGTTTTCCCTCGCTTTTGTCTCGAGTCCGCCTCTACCGCAAAACGAAGCCGAAACGAAAACGGCCCACGAAATCGCCAAAAGCACCGTTTAGGTACAGCCCAGCATGTTATACGAGTTTCTCTAGGGTCCTGGGAGGTTCTAGTGTCCAGCGGGGGCCCACGGGCCCAGGATGGAGGAAGAGGAAGGCGCTTCCTCCTCCTCCTCCTCCTCCGCCTCCTCCGCCTCCTCCTCCTCCTCCTACTCGTCCTGCTCCGCCTCCTCCTCCTCCTCCTCCTCCTCCTCCTCCGCCTCCTCCTCCTCCTCCTTCTCCTCCTCCTCCTGCTCCTCCTCCGACCTGGGCCCACATGAGAACTTTGTCCATCGTGGGAGTTGGAACTTCAATCAACTCGGCCACGCCCTTAGTGAAGCAGAGGCCCGTGGGCACGTCCTCAGCAACGTAGCGGTACTTCAGGTCGGGCATGAAGGTACCGTCCGCCTCCTGCTTCATGGGGTGTGTCAGACCCCTGTAGGCAGAATTCGTGTTCATGGAACCTCTGAGGGTCGAAGGGTCTGCCATTTGACCACTGTACGAGTCCAGATACCACTGGTGCAAGGTGCATGCATCTTTCAGGCTGTAGCCAGGGATCATCTCCTCCACCTTCTTGCGCACAGCCTGCACCTCGTCAGAGAGGCCAGTGAGGACCTGTTCCGTGAACTCGTCGACGCCCTGGTAAAAGAGCGGCTTCTCCGTCAGAGGCTTCCCGTCCCACTTCTCCGAGCACCAGCGCCCGTACATGACGCCAGGATGGATCACCTGCCCCGGATTGCGCAAGCTGATGCCGAGGTTGTTTGGACTCTTCAGAACCCGTGGGAAGACCCCGAGCAGGCCTTGCAGGACGGAGATGGCCCTGTCGGACTCTGATTCTGGCGTCACCGCGGCGAGGATGCTTCCCTTCGTGCCGAGGATGGTGGCGCGCTTCCCCCAGTCGGTGAAGCGGCAAGCCCAGGGCAGAGTCTCGAAGCCCACAAAAGCCAGAGACTCCGCTTTCGCCCCCATCTTCGCGGCAAAGAGGATGTCGCCCCCCGAGCGGGCAGGCATGCACGCGACGATGGTCCCTGGCTTGATGTAGGGCTCGAAGGCCTCAAAATCCACGGCCGTGCCCCTTGGCACGCTGAGGCGTGGTAAAGTGCCAAGGGCTGTCTGCTAGGGCTGGTGTACTCTTGCCGGGGGGACACCCTCCTCTCGCCCCCTCCCTCCTGATGCCACGATCCGTCGTGAAGAAACTCTGGATCCGCGCTCCCAAGGCCACGACTCCTTGCAACTCCGCCGACCTTGTCGGCGTGTGTGAGCGGCGTTCCCGTTTGAGTCGTCGTCCTCCTCGTCGTCGTCGGAGTCGTCGTCGCCGTCACCGCTCCTTCCCCCTTTCCCGGGGCCCTCCGCCTCAAGCGCGACAGCGAGAAGGAAATTGAGCAAAGGTCGTACATGGTTCGAAGGGGAGGCCCCTTCCCTTTCATCCCTGCCCCGCGCCAAGTGGGGGAGGTCCTGGGGAAGGGTCATGGGGGGGGGGTCATGGGGGAGGTCCCGGGAGGGGTCTGGGGGGTGCGTCGCCTCTCCCTGGGACCCCAGATGGCTCCAAGAGGAGGTACCCCAAGAAAGGTTTAAAGTCGCTTAAGATATCCCGAACATGATTCAAGACAGCTTCCAACATGCCTCCAAGAGGCTTCAGATCCACTCCAACGCGGCTCCGAATGGCCACGAAGCTTCCCCAGAACCCCAACAGGAGGCGAAAATGATTCAAAACATTAGTGTTAATCTATGTTTTGAATTTTCTCACATTTTCGCTTTCGATGGCGACCTCAAGATGGCCCAACAGGGCTCCGCGCACAGGAGGGCACGAAGACGGCCCCAAGAGCGCCTCAGAGCGCCCTACCCAATATAGCGCCAAAGAGGCCAAAAGAGATTAATGTTCGCCGCCCGAGGGGGGGCGCACACAGGAAACCCTCCTTCTGTGACCGATGTCCTCCAAGATAACCCCAAAAATAGAGCAACGAACAATGACATAAACATAAAAACTCGGAGGTCCGCGCGGATTTCTCGGATCCGCGCCGGACCCCCCTGGCGGCGCCTCGGGCGCCGCCCCTGGCGCGCTCTGCGCGGCATGGAGGGGGGTCCAGCGCGAATCCGAGAAATCCGCGCGGACCTCCGAGTTTTAATGTTTATGTCATTGTTCGTCCCCCTAGAAAAACCCTCAAGACTTCCAAGAGAGCCCCAAGAGAGGCCCAAGGGGGCATCAGAGGACTCCACAATGGCCCAAGAGTGGAAGGCCTCATCCCCCTCTCCTCCTCCTCCTCCTCTCCTCCTCCTCCTCCTCCTCCTCCTCCTCCTCCTCCTCCTCCTCCTCCTCCTCCTCCTCCTCCCTCCTCCTCCTCCTCCTCCCCCTCCTCCTCCTCCTCCGTCTCCTCATCCTCCCCCTCCGCCTCCTCCTCCTCCTCCTCCTCCTCCTCCTCATCATCATCATCATCATCATCTTCCTCCTCCCCCTTTTCCCGTAGCCATTTTGGCTCAAGCCATTTTGGCTCAAGGCTGATGCTTTGGCGGGCTGAGCCCGCATTGGCAAGACTGGATCGCTCTAGTCCGAGCGTGGCAAGGTCTCTTGAGACCTGGCAAGTTTCTACACTCACGGCCCCTGTGTGCCAAGCCTTGGGCCCATCATGGCGTGGCGCCGCAATGCTCCCTGGTGGCGTGGCCGTCGCGACGGTCGTGGAGGCCGCTACGGCAGTGGCCACTACTCTGTGTGCTCCAAGTGCAGCCACTGGGGGTACGATCACTTCGGGAACACGGAATGCAGCAAGTGTGGGGGAGCGTATGTCGACGATGGCGCTGTCAAGCATCCTCCTGTGCCTGCTGCTGCTCAAGTGGATTTCGCTGCTGACATCAACGCGTTGGCGGCCAAGTACCCCACCTACGCGGCTGCGCTTGGACAGCTCCAAGCAGTCGTTCCGCCGCCGCCCCCTGAGGCTTTCGTCCCTGCCACGGACAACGACATCGAGAAGCAGGTCGCCGCCAAGCGCACCATGCTCTCGAAGGCGGTGGAGATGGCCAGTCGCAAGGAAAGGGTATTGCAAGCAGATGTGGAACAACGTCGCCAGGCTGTGGTGCGAGCTCGGGACGTTTTGTTCAATGCGGAGTCGAAGCACGCGGAGAAGGAGACGGAGCTGCAGGAGGCTGCGGACTCCCTTCGTCGTGCCAATCATGAGAAGGATAATTTCAATGCTGATGCCTATCGCCTCGAGCTGCAGCGTGCTGAGCAGCAAGCGGCAGCAGCGGCGCAGCAAGCAGCCGCAGAGCATGCCCGTGCAGTCGCTCGGGCAGCCATGGGCGTGGGCAATGATGCAGAGGCTGGAGGAGTTCAACACGGTGCTGCAGCTGGCCATCCTGGTGTTCAGGGTGTTCCAGGCGCAGGCGCCTTTCCCGCGGCAGCTGGTCCTCACGGTGTACCTCCCCAAGCTCCAGGTGCGCAACTGCCTGGCATCACGGCGAGCGGGCATGTTGACTTCCAGTGGGTCCAGGACCATCTACACGAACTCTCGGAAGCTGAGCTGCAGCGTTTCCACCAGCGGTCGCACCTCTCACCCGATCAGTGGATCGAGATGCGCAAGGTGGCCATCCAGCAGCGCAGCGCCGAGGTTGATTTCGACATGGGTGACGAGGCGCAGAGTGAGGCCGGCACTGAGGATCCTGATTCTCCTGTTTTCAATGAGCTGGCAGCCCTGCGCAAGCGCGCAGCTGAACATGGACTCGCTCCTGAGGCCTCTGAACGCTACGGAGTCCTGCTCAGCAAGGCCGCCCGCGTCAGGGCAGGCAAGCGCGCCAAGAAGGCTATTCGTGACCAATCTTCTGCCACTTTCTCACTTTTCTGTTCAGCGGCAGCCCCCCCGCTCACCTTTGCTCGCAGCCAGCCAGTGTCAGGTGGGCAGGCACCCGCGGCAGCAGCGGAGCCTGCCGTGCAACAGCAGCGGCCAGCGGCAGCGGCGGCGCCTGGAGGGCAGCCGCCGCAGCCTGCGGCCGCAGCAGCGCACGGCGAAGCCCCGCCCCGCCTTTAGCGAGGCGGCTCCGCCTCGTCCGAGGCGCCGACGTGGCAAGCAGGATGGCATCGAGATCAGGTTTTGCAACGTTACCAGCTGGTCTGATGTCACCAAAGGTTTCCTCTCTTCCAGGATTTCTGAGATGGACGCCACGTTCATCGTTGAACACCACCTTCGGCAAGATGGCGTTCACAAGGCCAAGAAGGATGCAAGAGTAATGGGTTGGAACCCGTTCTTCCAGGCTGCTCTTGACTCTCCAGGAGGTGGTACTCATGGGGGTGTTGCAGCTTTCTGTCAAAAGGGTCTGTCCTGCCAGCGTTTTCTCTCTGGGCTCCAGGCTGTGAATGTTGGTTCGGGCACGCGCTGGTTCTTCCTGGAGTTCAGGCTTCACGGGATTTCCATGGCGATTGGCGCTGTGTATCTGGTGTCGTCCATTGGGGCGACAGGCGAGAACCTGTCTCGACTGAGAGAAATCGCGGAATTCACTACCACCTTGGGTGTTCCCTGGGTCCTGCTCGGCGATTTCAATATGTCGCCTGATTTGTTGATGGAGTCGGGTTTCCTGGAGATCACCTGGTCCAGGGTTCGAGTTCCTGACGATGTTGACTACACGTGTGACGTGGTATGACCATGATTGGCTATGCTGTGTGTTCCAGGGATGTGGCCCCCTTCGTGAATGTTCGGACGTTGTTGGAATCCCCGTTCAAAACGCACGCATGCCTGCATGTCTCGGTCGACGCGGACGTTTTAGAGCAAGTGGTCCAACGTAGAGGTCGGGCTGGCGCGCTTCCTGTTGCCGCTGGGCCTGACCATCTGTGGCCGTGCTATTTGAATATGGCCTGTGCAAGTGGGTTTGACTGGCGCACTCCTCCTGACGTCAAGGAAGCTACCCTAGAGCATACCTTGCAGCATGTTTCTGACGGGCTTCCGGAGGACTACGCCTTGTGGTCGAGGACCTCGTAAATGATTTTCCTGTCTCGGGGATGCGCGGTGGCTGACGAACCCGAGCGTCTCCTGGGACGGGGTAGTGCTGTCTCCAGGCTTTCGGGCACGATTCGGAGGCGTGGGCCCAGCAAGCAGGCCTTCAACGTTCCGCATCTCTGTTTCTGGTCCATGGTGTATTCTCGGCTGTTCGGACTGTGGAAAGCACTCAGTGGGAAGGCTACCTTGGCGCAAGCTAGGCGTTTGGCTTCTTTTCTCGCTGGGCAGGCAAACTACGTTGACCTGAATATCGAGCCTCTCTGCCCCCCTGCTGATGCTAGCGACTGGATGGCTGACCTCACCAGCCTCCCCGACTCGCCTGATCTCGTGCACCGCCTGGTGGATAAGGCCGCCGAGGTATGTAAGCTCGCGTGGGGCAAGGTTAAGGCCTCTAATTCTGCTGGGATCAGGAAGTGGTTGAAGGATGCGTTACCAGGAGGAGCGAGGAAGGTTCATAATTGGTTGAAGAGTGATGATAAGGTGGCGGTGGAGTACCTGGTCGCGCCTGACGGCATCCGACAAACCCCTAACGACATGACGAAGTATAGGCGTGACTTCTGGGCTCGCTGGTGGACCCCCACGAAGGAGCATTTGCAGGTTCTCAATGATACCCTCTCGGCGAGCTCAGGTCCCATGCCCAGACTTTCCTCCTGGAGTTGCCAGAGTTTGAGCCTCGGGATGTCCTGCAGGCGGCGACGTGTTTTGCTGGTGGCACGGCTGTAGGCGTCGACCAATGGTCTCCCAGAGCTTTCCTGCAGTTACCTTGGCAAGCGATCCAGTGTCTGGCAGCCCTGTTCAATATGTGCGAGCAGGCCCTGACGTTTCCGCAGCAGTGTTTCTTGAATACCATGTTTCTCCTGCCCAAGTCTGCGCACGACGAGCGCGCGATCAGCAAGTGTTCTACTATGTACCGCATGTATGCACGTATGCGCGGTGATCTCATCCATGAATGGACGGCAGAGCACACGGATTTCTGGGATAGTGCAGTGCGTAAGTCCTCAGCGTTGCAAGCAGCTCTTCTGCGCGAAGTGTGCCACGAAGTTGCAGGTGCCTTGCATTTTGAGTCGGCCTCTCTGCATTGGGACATGGAGAAGTTTTTTGACTCCGTGGTGCCCGCCCTCCTGGTGCAGCTGGCTCTGAAGGTTGACTATCCTCCTCATCTCCTCTACTTCGGCATGCTTGTGCACACTAGCCCTAGAATGCTTGAGGTGGAGGGGGTGGTCTCGGAGGTCATTGGAACGGGCAAGTCTATTCTCGCTGGATGTTCGCAGTCGGTTCCGTGGGTCAAGACATATTTGCATGGAGTGCTGGAGCGTGCACACAGACGTCTCCCAGTGGTGCCGATTCGATCATACATTGATGACATTACTCAGTACATGCAAGGTACGCGCAAGTATATCGTCTCTGCTCTGCCTGCTGCAGCCGCTCATTTCTGCCGAGATGTGGGTACACTTGGCTGTTTAATATCGCCTAAGCCTGCTGCAGTGGCATCGTCTACTGCTCTGGCCAAGGAGTTGTCTGCTAAGTTTGATGAACTGGGGGTCTCTATCCCATTCAAAGGGCAGGCGAAGGATCTGGGGGTCATGACCACAGCGGGGAGGAGGAGATGTGCATGGAAGATCAAGCTGCGCCAGCGGACCGCTTTCAAGCGCTCTCGTAAGCTGGCCTACCTCGCTCGCCTGCGCGGTCGATCCCGCAAGATCTTTAAGCCTGGCGTGCTTAGTGTCGGATCGTGGGGCCACTCAGTGTTAGGTTTGACCGCGGCCGATCTGCAGAGTTTCCGATCGCAGACTGCTAAGTGTTCAGGATACGGGAGTCAAGGTGCATGTACCTCGACCGTCCTCAGCCTGATGAACCCCCTGAGCCAGGATCCTGAATATCGGTTGCGTACTGAACAGCTATCCGCTATTGCTGGTGTATGGCATGCCTTGTCCCCAGGACAACGGCAAGGTGTGCGCACGGCGTGGGAGCAACATCGGGCACGGCTCGTCGCTCTTCCGCCTCAGCGCCGCTGGCGTGTGGTGTCGGGCCCCATCGCGGCCACGATCTGCACCCTGCTCGATTTGGACTGGTCGCCCACCCCACCCACTCAGTGGGGCACGCCTTGCGGGGTGCTCTGCGTGGAGGCGCGCGACTTCATGTTTCATCTCCGCGCCGCTGTGCGGCATACTGTTTCTCGGGGACATGCTTGCAAAGCGGCTCAGCACTTCTGTGGAGAAGGGTTAGATGGAGGTGCTGATTTCACGGTTTTCCGAAGAATGCACGCTCGGGTGATCAAGAATGGAGAGCATGCTGATGCCGCATTGCTTGTGTGTATTGTTGCGGCAGGTACCTGGCCTGAAGCTCGGCTTCAAGATGCGGGGTATCTAACTGACGGCACATGTCCTAGGTGTGGGGCTGCTCGTGAAACCAGCCTCCACCGCTGCTGGGAATGCTCGGCCAATGCATCGATCGTCAGCGTCGCGATGCATCGCTCGCTTGGCCTCGTCGAAATGGCGAATCAGCCCGAGCATGTCAGGAGTGCGTTCTGGACGCGTGGGCTCCCGCCTTTGGAGGCCGCTGTCGCGCCGCCCGTGGAGATTGTGAAGTCTTGGGGCCTCTTCGTGGGGGACCAGGAGGTGCGTGGAGGCCGATATGGTTTGGACGGCTCTGGGGGTATTTTTGCTTCTGATTGGAGGCTCAGGCGCTGTGGATGGTCTGTGGTTCGTTTCGATGAGGACAGTCTCCAGAGCGAGGACCTGGCCTGTGACGCTATCCTCATGGGTACCCTCCCCACGGTGGTTCAGTCGAGCCCCAGGGCCGAAATGTATGCTATGATTATGCTGCTCAAACGCACGGTGGGAGATATTGTGGCCTACTCGGATTATCTTCCCTTGGTGCGTGGTCTCCGTAAGGACAGGTCTTCTATCCCTGCTACGTCGCCTATGCTCGACCTCTGGGACCAGCTCTGGACGCTCCTGGATGCTCGTGAAGGCTCGGTGGAGGTGTTGTGGACTAAGGCCCACTCGACTGCGGGGACTCGTGAGGTTTGGGGTATCTGTAGGGTTGAGTTGTTCCTGAATTTTGTTGCTGACTTTTTTGCTGGGGAGGCTGCCGCCTTAGGAGAGGTCCCACAGGACCATGTGAATGTCTTGAATGAAGTAGACGACATGACGGGAAAGGTCCTGTCTCGTCTGCTGGATGTCAATCGTGAAGTTAATCTAACGTGCCGCCGCCTCGTGTCAGATAGAGTTGGGCGTCCTCCTCCTCGGCCGAGGGCCTCCTCCTCTCTCGCCACGCGGAGATGTAGACTCGAGGCGGCAGGGCACAGTGTCAAGCTTGTGAATTCGAGATATAAATGCATCGTCTGTGGCCGCCTTTTTGAGGCCGTGAGGGGAAAGGTTTCCGATTTCTTCCCTGGTCAGTGCGTGGGGGTGCGACAGATAATGTGCGGGTCGGAGCGTGAGGCCGTGATCGCGCACCCTGGGGCCCCCCGTGCGCACTCGTCCCACGACCTCGCGGTGCTGAGTGGTGTCTTGTTTTGCCGAGTCTGCGGGAGGCTTATGGTACAGAACTCCCAGCTCCTCGGAGAGGAGTACCCACCAAGTCGCACTCCGACGAAGGCAGGCGCCAGCGTGTTGTCTCGCCTTAGGCGAGGCCTTCCGCCGAAGTGCGGCATGAAGTTCCCAGATCCCTGACGTGTACAGTGGGATCACTGACGGGTGCTGAAGAGTGTGTGGTGTGAAGCATGCGCCCTGGCCAGACCAGGTCCCCGCCGAGCGCCCAGCCAGCCATCCTCCTCCCCCTTTCATCCTCCTCCTCCTTCTCCTCCTCCTCATCCTCCTCCTCCTACTTGGCTGCCCGTAGCGCATAGGGTCTGCAACACCAGCCGCAACTCACGAGCTTCCAAGACGGCTGAGGCAGGCAACCAATGCCGCCAAGATGGTCGAAGATGCCTCCAAGACGGCCCAAAATGGCCCAAGGCGACACAAGATGGCCTATAGACGGCCCAAGATACCTCCAAGAGGGCCCCAGAGAGCCATAAAAGGACATCCAGTGGGGCCCGAAAGGGTAAGATCCATGAGTTCCTCACTGCCGGTGTTTGACATGTTGTCGCTGTCTCTCCTTTTTCGGACGTCCGTCAACTCAAGACAACGAAGGAGCCTCAAAGATGACCCCAAGACGGCCCAAGAGGCCCCCAAGAGGCCTCCAAAACAGACTCAAAACGGCCTCTGGAGGGACCAAATATGGTTCCACGACGGCCGCAAGAAACCCCTCATACGGCCAAGACGACCCCAAGACGGCTCAAGAGAACCCCAAAACTGCCAAAGAGAGCCCCAAGACGGCCCAAGAGGGCCCCAAAACAGCCCAAGGGACCCCCGAAGACCGTACCACAGGAGCCCCAGACAGACCCAAAAAGGTCAAAATGAGCTCCATGAGAGCTTCTCAAGAAGTAAAGACGAAAGGTGTCACACATGACAGCCTACCTCTGCCTCCTTCGACTTCTCCTCCGACTGGTCCCCCTCCTTCTCCTCCCCCTCATCATCGTCATCATCAACATCACCACCATCATCATCATCATCATCATCATCATCATCACCACCACCACCACCACCATCATCATCATCATCATCACCATCAACATCATCATCATCCTCATCATCACCATCAACATCATCATCATCATCATCATCATCATCATCATCATCATCATCATCATCATCATCATCATCATCATCATCATCATCATCATCGTCGTCGTTGCCGTCGTCATCATCATCACCGTCACCATCACCAACACCATCATCATCATCATCATCATCATCATCATCATCATCATCATCATCATCATCATCATCATCGTCGTCGTCGTCGTCGTCGTCGTCGTCGTCGCTGACGTCGTTGTCGTCGCCCTCCTCCTCCTCCTCCTTCTTATCATCATCATCAACATCATCATCAGCATCACTATCATCCGTCGCGTCACATTCATCAACATCACTACCACCACCACCAAAATCATCATCAGCAACATCATCAGCATCAGCATCGGCAGTATCATCATCAGCAGCATCATCATCAGCAGCAGCATCGCCATCATCGTCATCATCGTCATCATCAACATCAGCATCACCATCATGAACATCGTCACCTGCATCATCTTTCTCATCAGCATCAGCATCAGCATCATCAGCATCGTCAGCATCATCCTCATCAGCATCAGCACCATCGTCATCATCATCCTCCTCAGCACCATCAGAATCAGCATCCTCAGCATCATTATCAGCACCACCATTAGCAGCAGCAACATCATCATTATCAGTATCATCGTCATCA